ATATTGAAAAAGTCTATTGAACTATCAAGAAAGAAAACCGAGCTCGACCGTCGAAAAAATGAATACATCAAAATCTTAGCATTCTCACCAAAGATCAGCCATCGAAACATCTTTACGAGCTCGTGCACTTTACATATTTGACGACAATTCAGAGCTTGTTAAAATATTTAATGCACTTGTATCACTTACGTAACTTGGTCGTGTCCAATTAGGTTGTACTTGACCAGTTGTTGTAAGACTACCTTCTAGAACCAATTCTTCTTGAGCATCAATAGCATCTGGACGCTCGGTTGGTACTTCATGCCAACATTGACGAGCAAACTCTTGTAACTCCATTGGACAATCTGATGAGAACTCCAAAAGCTTAGAATTACCACCAGTACCAGTTGGAGTACGTAAACTTGCCAAGTCTTGCTCTACAGCAGTCAGCTGAGATATCAAGTCACATGCGTTTCTAGCGCTTCCAGACGTGTTGCAGCAAATCCAATTAATTCAGACACATCCAGTTGACGCGGCTGCAACAGTCAACCCACTCAAACGTTCGCCACGTTGTCAGCAGCTGAGATATCAAGTCACATGCGTTTCTAGCGCCTATTGTGTTAAGTTCTCACAAAAACATACCAAATGCGTATACATCATCTTGTTGAGTTGAGATACAAGCACCTCCATTACCTGGAATTTCGTCAAATTTATCTAATGTTCCACCAGATACGAAATTTTGATAATGTGGACTATGGTTATCTAAAATGTGGCACCATTAGCAACGATAACTCTTATATGATGAGTTGGGGCAAGAACAAAGGGAAGTCGCTGAAACAAATAAGCCATATCGACTCTAATTATATCGATTGGCTCCGTAAGAATCTATTCGTGATTGGGAAATGTCCTAAGTTGCTTAAGAAACTTAGTTAAGCGATATCTTTTTTCTTTGCTAGGACAGCAATTCCGATCGATCCTGATATATAACGTCCTCTGATATAATAATGATAGGCTATATCTATAAGATCACCAACGCGGACGAGTCGATTGTGTATGTGGGTAGTACCACATTGACTCTTGGACGACGGTGGGGTAACCATTCGGAAGCGTAGTAAGGGAAGCTATGATTTCCCATCACTTTCGCGACAATGGCATTGAAAACTTCAACATTCACTTGATCAGTGAGCATGAAATTGAAGAACGTGGTAATTGATTTTAGATTCGAACAAGTGTGTTACTAAGCAAGCAGCATGGAAATCGGATCATGATAAATGAAAATATCAACAATTATCTTAAGGAAGACAGGAAGCAAATATCTGAATAAAGACGCAACAGCAAACAAAGAGCGAATTAATGCTGTCAAACTCAAGAAAATAGACTGTGAATGTGGGAGCTCAGTATAAAATCGGAACGAGGCAGCACATCGACGATCAAACAAGCATCAGCAATACTTGTCAAATCAGATTCAATCAAATTTTCAAAAGTCTCGTTAGATGAGCAAATACGTGAGGATAATGTTTGAAAATAAACATACAAAGATTGTTCTTCCCTGAAAAGCTTGGACCGAGCACAACCATTCTAAAAAAGCTTTCATCTTCAATGCGGGGCTATCAACCATCGAAGCAGACTTAAATTCTTTCGGAAGTCAGGAACAGCACTCATGACTTAAATCGTTTGATCGATATAGGGGTAAACAAAATGAGTTTTTCATATCCACAACCTACATTTCAATCTTCCATTTATAATCCTTCATTCTATCTTTCGTTAGACTCGAGTGGTTATCTAACATACG